CCCAATAAGTTGTCGCATACATTCTTCTCAATATGCATGACATCTAAGTTGTGACGTAACGATAATGACTTCCAATAAGACAACTCCCAAAAGATACTCTTCTTTGTCCAATTAAGCTCGCTTGCATGTCTTTTCCGCTTCTTACCACCATACTTTTCATGTTTACCAGGCAATCCTAAGGACACATTTTGTAACTGAGCTAAGATTTGGTGAACAGATTTTCGAGCCGGTGGAGGTCGTTTCTCAACCATACCATCAAACTTTTTTTTTTCTCATCGCATGTTTAATAGGAAGTCATTGCCGATGGCCAACAAAATAAGTCTTACTTGTTATCCTCTTTGAAGGAGTTGCATCGTTGCAAGTTGGGCATGCTAAATAGCCCTGACCACTCCATCCAGATAAACTACTACGAGCAGAAAAATCATTAACAGTCATGAGCAACATAGCTCACATCTGAAATGATGTATTCGAAACTTTGTCACGTATAATTACTCCTTCATTCCACAAATCTTTTAGCTCATCCACAAGGGGCCTTAAAAAGACATCCATACCTTTCCGGGTGCATTTGGGCTAGGAATCAACAATGTCAACATCTTATAAGGATCCTTAATGCATAACCACAGAGGTAAATTGTAGGTCGTTAAAACCACCGGCCACATACTGTATGAGAGGCTCATGTTCTCGAAAGGATTGAAACCATTGGTGGCCAACCCCAAGCGAACATTTCTCGGCTCACGTGAAAACTCAGGATACTTTTCATTTACCTCATTCCATTCAATACCATCAACTGGATGACGTATTAAATCCTCATCATTTGAACGCCCACGCTGGTGCCACATCATATCTTTAGCTGTGTGATGAGAACCGTACAGATGCTTCAACTAATCTGTTAACTGGAAATAACGTAGTACTTTTCACGGGACTTGTTTAGTACCCTTTGTCTTTTTTTCTTCCAACGGGATGTTTTACATACAGGACACATTTGTAGATCAGCGTTCTCCTTCCAAAATAAAGCACAATCGTACTTGCAGACATGAATTGTTTCATAACCCAATCCAAGTTTACTCATGAGCTTTTTCGACTCATAATGAGAAGAAGGTAACTTCACATCCAGAAATGCATCTTTCAATAGACTTAAGACAACATCCATACACTCATTAGGCCACTTGTATAACACTTTTAAATGCATCAATTTCACTAAGAAATTTAAAGATGAATACTTAGTGCAGCCCGGATACAATCCCACCTGGAGCTCAGAAAGTAGATCCTTAAATTCA